TATCCTGGAGACATTCTGAGGGTAGAGCCAATCAGAATTGATCAAAAGCTACATAAATGCATAGCGTTAGATGTAAGTGGTGGCCAAGGGTGAAAGGTTACATAATCTTCTGTAAAAACCTAATTCACTCAACCACCAATGCTCCGTCCATTGTCTGACTCCCACCCCAAGGGAGAGAACAGAACCGTCAAAACCAAAACTGGTGTTCTCCTATTCCAACGTCCATACAATTAAACCTAATTGGACTTCCCTTATAAATGTACTTATTTAATTTTCAAGTGTTTCAAATTTGGCAACGGTATTTAAGTGGCCGTGAGTCGTCCCCCCCCCCAAAAAAAACAACAACAACATCCAATGGTCTTGGTACAGAGCTTTGAGGAACACACCCACACACTGTGATGTTGGCTATGCTGTTAAGACTCAATGGTTTTGTGAATTTTAAGTTGGATTTCCTTTCTTTGATTTTGAGTGTGACCCACACCATACTAGATTCTGAATGGCATGCTTGGATGGGCTTTGGTGACATGTTTGGACTGTACTGGTTATCTTGTGTCGGGCCTTGTTGATGAAAGGATGCCTGACTGTTATCTGTTACTCATGCCATACCCACACCCGTGCATGTCCGTGTGAGGAATGGGCTGCCCTTTCACATGCATTCTTCAATAAGTACATTTTGGGGAGGGATTGGAATAGCGCTATGGCCATTTTTGGGGCCGGTACTTTACTTGAAGTGCACTACAAAACGTCTGTCATAAGAGTGACATCATACGTACCAGGACAGCACGGGGGGGGTCATGACAAAAATCCATAACAGATATGACAACAGATATGACATTGTTCTGAAAGGTCAGATGTTAAAGCTACCTACTCTCCTGCCTCTTAACAAAAGTAATACCTGTTGATGTAAGTGGAGGGTTGGTTGTGATTCAGTCATGACCTGTTATGAAAGACATAATGTTATGCCACCGTTTTGTTGGCGTTGTGATTGCCACTTCTCGTGAATATGGTGCCCACTTTATTTTAGTTTTTGCAAATAGGAGACCATTTTGGAAATAGTAATTCTTGTCTAAAAATGTGCAACGGTGTTAAGCTTTATTTTGTGTATTTTTGACATAATGCATTTGAGTTATCTATTTTACTATAACTAAACCCAAAGTAATTCACAAAACATTTCTCTTGGAGGGAAATATGTAGTAACCAGGAGCTAATTTACTGCTACTTCATCTGAATAGAGCACGTTGACCACAAGGTTGGGTTGTGACACGCTGAGCTAGCAATTGACATTGTCAGTGAGTTAGAGGTTTTTTTCTAAGGTACTCTGGAAGAGCACTGGTGTGGGTGTTTAGGATCATATGATTATCACCCAATGGAGACCATACTCATGTGAGGGAATGCATTATTAATCATTTTACACTTACTGTAAAAGGGGAGATACCTCCACAAGTCTGTGACCAAACAATTGCGATTGATTCTACAGTTCAGATTCTGAGTAGTAGAGAAGAACATTTCTTAGATGTCTCCTTGTGCACAAGCTTGGTTTATGTATTAAAGATCACAACCCAGAGTTACTTTATTGATATGCACGCTCGGTGGTGTACACAAACAGGTAAATCCTTTTAGAGGAAGTGTGCTGTAAGCTGAATGGTGCCCCCCCCTCGTAAAAAACAGAAAAAGGTTATCGAAACTACGATTGAATGAACCCCTTTGGGTCGACACGGTGTGGGAAAGGGATTTTCCCCCCCTTTCCCCCCCCCTTTTTTCCCCCCCCCCCTTTTTGCCCCCCCCCCTTTGGGTTGGAAAAAGGGGGGGGGGGGGCTTTAAAAAATTTTTCATTTAAGCCCCGGGGGCCCAAACCCCTTTTACCAGGGGGGCCAGGGAAAAATCCCCCCTTTCCTTTCCCCCCCCCCCCCCCCCCCCCCCCCCTCCCCCCCCCCCCCTCCTCCTTTCCCCCCCCTCCCCCACTTCCTCCCTTTTCCCCCCCCCCACCCCCCCCCCCGGGGCCCCCCCCAAACCCCCCCTCCCCCCCCCCCAAACCCCCACCCCCCCTTTGCCCCCACCCCTCCCCCCCCCCGGAAACCCCCCCCCCCCCCCCCCAAAAAACCCCCCCCCCCCCCCCCCCCACCCCCCCCCCCCCCCCCCCCCACCCCTCCCCCCCACCCCCCTCCCCCCCCCCCCCCCCCCCCGCCTACCCCCACCCCCCCCCCCCCCCCCCCCCCCAACCCCCCCCCCCCCCCCCCCCCCCCCCCTTTTTCCCCCCCCCCCCCCCCCCCCCCCCCTTACCCCCCCCCCACCCCCCCACCCCCCCCCCCCCTTCCCCCCCCCCCCCCCTTCCCCCAAAACCCCCCACCCCCCCCCCCCTTCCCTCCCTCCCCCCCCCTCCCCTTTCCCCCACCCCCCCCCCCCCTTTCCCCACCCTCCCCCTCCTCCTTCCCCCACCCTCTCCCCCCTCCCTTTCCCCCCCCCCTCCCTCCTCCTCCCCCCAAAAACCCTCCCCCCCCATCCTTTCCCCCCCCTCCCCCTCCCTCCCCTTTTCCCCTCCCCCCCCCCCCCCCTCCTCCTTCCCCTCCCCTTTCCCCTTTCCCCCCCTTCCCCCCCCCCCTCCCCTCCTCCTTCCCCTACCCCCTCCCCCCCCCCTCCCCCCCTTCCCCCTTCCTTCCCCCCCCCCCCCCCCCCCTTTTTCCCCCCCCCCCTCTCCCCCCCTCCCCCTCCTACCTTCCCCCACCCTCTCCCCCCTCCCCCCCTCCTTCCCCCCCCTCCCTCCCCCCCTTTCCTTCCTTTTCCCCTTCTTCCCTTCCTTCCTTTTCCCCTTCCCCCCCCCCCCCCCCCCTTTTTCCCCCCTCCCCTCCCCCCACCCCCTACCCCCCTTTTTTTTTTTCCCCCCCTCTCCCCCCCCCTTTTCCCCCCAACCCCCCTTTCCCCCCCCCCCCCCCCCCCCCCCCCCCCCCCCCTTCCCCCCCTTCCCCCCTTTTCCCCAAAACCCCCCAACCCCCCCTTTCCCCCCCCTTCCCCCCCCCCTCCCCCCCATTTTTAAAAATTTTTCTGCCCCTCATTCGTTTTCCCCGGGCCCCCCGGTCCCTTTTTTTCCCCGGTTTTTTCTTTCCCTCGTTTTCCTTCCCCCCTTTTCCCCTTGCGTCCCTTTTCTTCCCTACCTAGCTTTTCCCATTTTTTTTCTTTTTTTTCTCCCCCCTCTGGACCTTTTTTCCAATTCATAAATTGGCTCCCCCCACAAAAAACCAAAACCCCACACCCAAAAAAAACCCCCCCTTCTTCCACCCCTTTTCCCCTTTTTCTTTTTTCTCTAACCCAAATATTAAAATCCCCCTTTCCCCCCCCCCCCCAAAAGTTCCCTTTTCTAACCCCCCTCCCCTCCATCTGTGTAAAGTACATTATCTTGCCCATCAGTGTCTTGTTTGTCTGTCCCTTCAGTCTGCTGTCTTGTTGCTCGGGTTTGTTCTGTTCTGCCTCGTGATCCGTCTCCTTATCCTCCCCGTCTGTCCGTCTGTCTCTAAGTCTGAGCCTCAGCATATTCTCCATCGTTTTAGTTTCTTTACATCTCTCTCCCTCTGGACCTTTCTTGTCCCATAGCCTCATACACATTGTGTCTCACACACACACACACACACACACACACACACACACACACACACACACACACACACACACATATCATTACATCACACGTATCACACACGTAGATATACTATGCATACTCACATAAACGCAAACTATTACCCAACCTAACCTTCGTCCCACTCTCAACCCCATGATATCAACTTTATCTGACCATTCCAACTACCCCCAGTTCTCTCCCACCCTGGACGTCCATTGTGTTGTACCTTCCCCCCCAGCTCTTCCTCTACCTCCCGTCGGTCTGTTTCTTGACTTCTTTTCCTGTCTTTGACAGTCCCTCTCTAGCTACAACTACTACAGCTGTCTCTTTATGTCCTCTTATAAACACACTAGCTGTTCCTCTCTATACTTATTTTTGTGTTACTTCTGCCAGACTGCGATGTGACAATGTGCCAACTGTCACATTAGGTAAAGTTGGCTGGAACAAAAAAAAAAAAAAAAGCTTACACAGCATTGAAGTGGGTTTTCCCCCCCTGTCCTCCTCCTCCCACCCCTCCTTTCTCTCTCTTTTGTATCTCTCTCTCTCTTTCTTAATTCCTAATCAGATATTTATATTTTCCTCTCTGATCGTCTTTGTCTGGGCATGCTAGCGACCCTTCAGTTATATTCCTCAATGCATTCTATCTCAATTTTATATCTGGATTTCTTATTTATCATTTACTCCTTGATTTACCTCAATCTATTATGCATGCTGTCTGTGGGACTGATAGCTGCATCTATCAATGGAACCGTGTCAGATCTTCAGAAGGCTTTGTCCAGTGGATCTACCCTAAACCACAAAAATCTGATTAAAGTTTCTCATCTTTAGCCATAGCTTGCAGATACCATTAGGGCTAAGGGCACGAGCCTGTTTATCAATCAGATGCATGAGGCCCCAACTCCGACTATAACCACTCTATCCATTGAATACTATGGGAGAAATGTCATTTTCTTCCTGTGCCGTGGGAGGGGCCTATAATGGCCAACTTCCTGGTTTGCTGAAAGTGGCTGAGAGGACAGGAAGTTTCTGTTTACTGTATGGCATCGATCATACAGTACTCCCTCAAATATTACACTCTGTCTTCATGGATGTTAACTCCACGTTGTAGAAACACATTCTGTCTGAAGGTCAGTTTTCAAAGATGAGAAACTCATAATAGATTTTTGTGTCTTTAATTGTGCTGTGATGGGTCAAATTTTGGTCAATGGAACCTTGTTGCTATGAATCGTTGCTTTAACGTCAATCTATATTGTTGTTGAAGCAGTTCTTGTTAGTTCAGTTCCTTCTCATTATTTGTGTTTTTATGTAACTTTGAAAAGTGCGTACTAGAGAAACGTACTAGATTTAGTTGAGTTTCAGTTGTCTTGTGATTTTCTCTGTAGATGTAATAATGGATGCCGTTGAATGGGTCCATTTTTCATTTTCCTGTCTTGCTACCTCTTTTTCTCTCTCTCTCCCTCCCTCCTCCCCACTCCCAGTCCGCCGCGTGCCCCCTCGCTTTTCCATCCCGCCGACCAGTCACGAGATGATGCCAGGTGGCAGTGTGAACATCACCTGCGTGGCGGTAGGGTCGCCCATGCCCTACGTCAAATGGATGCTGAACTCGGAGGACCTGACGCCGGAAGACGAGATGCCAGTGGGCCGGAATGTTCTGGAGCTCAACGGCGTGCGAGAGTCTGCCAACTACACGTGTGTGGCCATGAGCAGTCTGGGCATCATCGAGGCGGTGGCGCAGATTACTGTCAAGTGTAAGATGGGGCACAGGAATTCTTCTAGGCTATTAGTACTGCTGTTGTGTTCGGGGAAAAACCAGCTTTGAGATGTGTTATGATGTGGCATCTTAATGATAATTATATGTCTGCATCTGAGTAATTTAAAAGTCCCTCTTCACCCCTCCCCCCCCCCCCCCCCTGACCCCCACAGCCCTGCCCAAGCCCCCAGGCACCCCCATGGTGACCGAGACCACGGCCACCAGTGTCACCATCACCTGGGACTCCGGTAACCCGGACCCCGTTTCCTACTACATCATCCAGTACCGCGCCAAGTCTCCCGACAGCAAGTTTGAGACCATGGACGGCATCACCACTACGCGATACAGCATCGGGGGCCTCTACCCCAACACAGAGTACGAGATCCGCGTCTCTGCCTTTAACACCATCGGCCAGGGCCCCCCCAGTGCGCCGGTGGAGACCCGGACCGGGGAACAAGCCCCGGCCAGTCCGCCCCGCAACATCCAGGCCCGGATCATCTCCCAGAACACCATGATGGTGCGCTGGGACGAGCCTGAGGAGCCCAACGGGCAGATCAAAGGGTACCGGGTGTACTACACCATGGACCCGTCCCAGCCCATGAGCCTATGGCAGATCCATAATGTCCAGGATAGCATTATCACCACCATCCAGAGCCTTGTGGCGTCTGAGACGTACACCATCCGTGTCCTGGCCTTTACCTCGGTGGGCGACGGGCCCTTCTCTGACCCCATCCACGTCAAAGTGCTACAAGGAGGTTAGGGTTCTGGGTTCAACTCTCCTATCAACATGTCTGTGTGGTTTTACTAGGGATGAGTGCATACCACAAGTGATCCATTAAAATCCTGTACTGTAGTTGAAAGTCCCTATAAAAGAAGGGTTCACTGCAATGATCACTGTCACTAATTCAATTTCTCTTTGTCTATCATAGTCCCCGGACAGCCAACAAAGTTCCAGGTTGGTGCTGTGTCCGACACAAGCATGGAGTTGACCTGGGAACCTGCCTTCCAGAAAGAGGGGATCATCAGCTTTGAACTCCGGTACAAAGAGGGCAGTTTTGGCAGCCAGGTAAGATATGCTTGTGCTTTTGTGGGAAGAGTGTTGACCAAGCTTTTGCCTTTAAGTACTCATAGAAGACACTAGGTGTTCAGTGAACAAGGTGGAATAAGGAACAAACATGAGGTACAGTAAAGCTCCAGTGATATTTAATTTCAGTCAAAAGCATGCCTCACTTTTCTCCACCAACAGGTGACCAAAACCTTCGGCCCCACTGCTACATACGTCGTTGAGGGTCTGCGGGCAAACACGGAGTACTACTTCTCTCTGGCTGCCATTTCCAACAAAGGCATCGGAGCCTTCACCAACGAAATATCCCAGAAAACCTTGCAAGCCAGTATGTAGCCCATTTGCTCTCTACTCTGTGTGGGGTGTGGGCGGGCTGGTGGGATTCTGTGGTGCATGTGTGGGCAGGCTAGTGGGATTCTGTGGTGCAGGTGTGGGTGGGCTGGTGGGATTCTGTGGTGCAGGGGTCAACAATGTGTTTGTGTCTTCTGGTGACCTTTAATCATGCAGATATTTTGTGAAGACATGAGCTCGCTTCTTGGCTCCAGGCTAGAACCATGGAATGCCGACGTTGACGTTCTCGTCGCCTTTGAACTGTGAATGTGTCTTATGAGGATATACTCAGGGTTCAAAGATTATTCTGTTTTGTAATGACTTTCTTGATTCAGTACTATGCAGATCATCTTTTGATAATGTGATTTAATGGTTTATGAATGATCAATGATGATTTCTCCCAGACTTCAACCTGACAAAAATAACTTTACTTTTGCCCAATGAACATGACATTCACTCTGCACAATATGCTGTTCTTCTGCAGGATAAGGGTTACCTTAGAAAGTGCAAAAGGGTGTGATGGTCTTTAACCGCTTTTTACCTTTAGAGTTTATTATTTTCCAACCTGGGTTTATATGTCATGGTGCTAACTATGATGCAATGTATCCTCCATTGTCAAACAAACCGGTCAAAGTTTCCCAGTTTCTTTATTTTTCTTTACTTTCGGTTCATATTTGGTTTTCCTTTGTCAACAGCAAGTCCACTTTAACCCACGTCACTGAGACACAAAGCATTTCCTAACTCCCCACCCACTGGGCAAAAAAACTGGTTGAATCAACGTTGTTTCCACGTCATTTTAACCCCCAAAAAAATCAATGTGATGACGTTGAATCAACGTTCAAAACTAATTGAATTTGCAAAAAGCAATCAACGTAAGGGTATTTCGTCTTTTTTTCAACCAACTTTTAACCAAAATCCAATGACATGGTGATTTTGTGTTGTTGAATTCACATTAGTTGACAATCAACCAAATGTAAATCAAAACTAGACGTTGAAATGACGTCTGTGCCCAGTGGGCAGTGACTGCCATGGCTTTCTGCTGAACCACGTTAACAGAGGGGTGAGGGAAGGTGCAGACAGGTGGGTGTCGGAATCAGAGGACAGGCAGCAAAACCATCCAATCAGAAGCCTTCACTGCACCTCATAGGCCCCACCTCCTGAATTAATTCCAGCTGATCAACAGAGGCCTGTAAATGTTTTCCCAGATGCCAGGAACACATCTAAATAATTGAAACACTGCTTGCTAAAAACAGCCCCACACAAGTAACATCATGGTAAACATTATGTGCAGGAGTGTACTGAGGGCTGTTATTCAATCTAATATTCAATGTTGTTTGAGGACTGTGGAGCTGTCAGGATATTACGTGTACATTCTCCCATAAGTCTCCAGATTTTCTTAGGGGGTTACATACTGTATACAAAGATTTGAGTTATGTGTTGAGGTTTAAGGCGTTCTAATGATCTAAAGTCTCGCTGTTGCTACTTCCTGTAAACACACAGTCCAGTTCAACGTGAATGATGGCAGGCCCGTGTGGTTTATTTGCATATAGGCCGACTGTAGCTCTGATTGGCTATGGCACACCTGTCTGCTTAGACTCCGGTACTGGACAAGACAGATGTTGTTATTACGTTTTATTTACTGCAGTGTCTATTAATTGTCCAAACGCACGGCTGCTTTCTCACTATATATTTCTATAGAATTTTCACAAATGCCTTAATATATGTCATTCCCAAACATTCTATGAATTTATGAAAACGTGAAAATGACCATATCTAAGTGCTCGCTTGTCAGAAAATGTACCAAAAAAATGTGTAATATTCTTCCTGGGGTTGTATATGAACAGATTTTAATAAGATTGCATGTTGCTAAAACGCTGTCAGTTCCACTTTAAGGCTTTAATCTCTGAAAAACTCAGACAGTGTAGCTGGATTTGCTTGGATTATGGATGGATCAGGGCAGCCTTTGTGGGGTACAGGGTAGTAAATTAGTATAGCTCAATTGTCCAGATCAATGAGCATTGCTCAAATATGTGGAATCCCTAGCCATGATCAAATGAGTGTATTAATCATACAGCATCCATGTAATGATAGCCCACACAATTGCATTATCATTTCAGTAATGTACATGGATGTTAAATTTAAAAATAGATTGGAGTTTTTGTGTCTTCTGTCCGATTCCTAAGTGGTTTACAATGAAGAACTTTGACTGGGGTTGGCCATCAGAAAGCCATGGTAGTGGGAGGAGATGTATTTTAACACATTTTCTGTTTCTACCAGTGCAACGTGTTGGCTGTGCCCCCTTGTTGGGGGTGTAGGGCTTTGGGATAATCACTTCACATTTATGTTGGTAGTGATGGGGACAGCTACGCAGACAGTGCTGCTGAATCACTGATGGGGCACCAGTTGCATGCAACACTCCGTCCTGTCCCCTGGGTGTGCTGTTGGCATTTTGTCACTGCATCCTTGATCAATGGCCACACCAGGCATGACCCTACCTATATTTGTACATCCAACCCCATCTCTGTTTCCAAGTGTGTGTGTGTGTGTGTGTGTGTGTGTGTGTGTGTGGCTATCTCTGCCTGTCTGTCTATCTGTGTATGTGTCAGTCCCTTACCTCTGTCTTGCCTTGTTTTCTAGAACGGTAAGCTGCAAACGGAACTCTCTCTCTCTCTCTCTCTCTCTCTCTCTCTCTCTCTCTCTCTCTCTCTCTCTCTCTTCTCTCTCTCTCTCTCTCTCTCTCTCTCTCTCTCTCTCTCTCTCTCTCTCTCTCTCTCTCTCTCTCTCTCTCTCTCTCTCTCTCCGGATACACTCCTCTGTCTCTCTAGCTCTCCTTGTTTGTCCTTCCATTGCTGTCTCTGTAACTTGTTTCCCCTTGTCTGAAATGGAACAGAATCTCTCCTTGGCATGGCCTGACATCACCTTGCTTACTTTGTTTCCTTCCTCCTTCTTCGTTGAGTCAATTTGAGATTTTTTTTGTATTCTGTTCTTCGGGTTTTTCAAAAGCATATGGCTCACATTACATCAGGAAGCAGCTTGCCACGTTTTTGCTGGCGGTTGGGTTCTAATGTGAACCCAAGTCCACTGCTGCCACCTCAACAGCTGCAGCACACACCACTTAGCGATATAATTTCCAAACCTTATCCAGTTAACTAGAGTAAGTATCTCCTTGGGGTCTCTGCTTGTGCTGAGGGTCTCCACTTCTCAACCCCTTGAGCTCTGTCGCTAGGGTCCAGGGATATGAGTCACTTCTCTTAGCCAATGGCTGCTCGTGTACAGCCAGCCACTCCTCTCACGAGTCCCTTCTGAAGTAGGTGTCAGAAAAAGCCAAGGGTTTCACACCTAAGAGGTCAGAAAAGTTACAAACTCGGACGGTCAAAACAAAACTGTGTTTCACACCACAACAGAAAACAACAAAACAAAAACATGATCTTGTGGATGCATTTGAGGTAAGTGTTTGTTTGGTACAGTTGTCCAGTCTGCCGTAACCCATAGCAGTCTGACCTAAAATCTAATCAAATCAAATGTTATTTGCCACATGCGCCGAATACAACATGTGTAGACCTTACAGTGAAATGCTTACTTACAAGCCCTTAACCAACAATGCAGTTTTAAGAAAAATTAGTGTTAAGTAAAAAATAGATAAATAAAAAATAATTAAAGAGCAGCAGTAAAATAAAATAACAGTAGGGAGGCTATATACAGGGGGTACCGGTACAGAGTCAATGTGCGGGGGCACAGGTTAGTCGAGGTAATTGAGGTAATATGTACATGTGGGTAAAGTTAAAGTGACTATGCATAGATAATAGTAATCCTTCTTCCCCCACCTCCCATTAAAAAAAAAGAATTAAAAAAAAGGTGGTTGTCCCACTGGCTATCATAAGTTGAATGCACCTGCACTCTGGATAAGAGCGTCTGCTAAATTATGTAAATGTAATAATAAACAGAGAGTAGCAGCAGCGTAAAAGAGGGGGTGGGGGGGGTGGGACACTTAGCCCACTCAACCTACAGTAACTTAGATTTACATTTTACATTTTAGCAGACGCTCTTATCCAGAGCGACTTATAGTTAGTAAGTGCATACATTATTATTTTTTCATACCCCCATGTGGGAATCGAACCCACAACCCTGGCGTTGCAAACGCCATGCTCTATCAACTGAGCTACATCCCTGCCGGCCATTCCCTCCCCTACCCTGGACGACGCTGGGCCAGTTGCGCGCCGCCCCATGGGTCTCCCGGTCGCGGCCGGCTACGACAGAGCCTGGATTCGAACCAGGATGTCTAGTGGCCTTAGACCACTGCGCCACTCGGGAGATGTCTATTTCCATTATACTTGTCCCAACATAAGAGACGAGAATAGGTTAGTAGACTCCATACGTGAAATGATTAAATATTCATATCCAAACGTGAAATGGTTAAATATTCAATATCCATATGTGAAATGGTTAAATGTTCATATCCAAACGTAAAATGGTTAAATATTCATAGCCATATGTGAAATGGTTACATATTCATATCCATACATGAAATGGTTAAATATGAATATCCATACATGAATTGTTAAATATTCATATCCATACATGAAATGGTGAAATATTCATATCCATACATGAAATGGTTAAATATTCATATCCTACATGAATTGGTTAAATAATCATATCCTACATGAAATGGTTAAATAATCATATCCATACATGAAATTGTTAAATATTCATATCCATACATGAAATGGTTCAATATGAATACACATCATGAATTTGGTTCTCATAATGAAACAAGCAGTCTGAGTGTTGTTGCGTTACACCATCCATCAAAACACAGCACACAACACAGCAAACGCACACACACACACACACACACACACACACACACACACACACACTCACACACACACACCCTAAAGTGCCTGCTATCTAGAAGATAAAGCTCCTTTACATTGGCTGTAATAGAGAGGTACATAAAGTAAAGGTAAGAGTGTATCGTCGGTCCGTCGCAGAAG